TCTTTGCAGCAACTAAGAACGAAGTTGTTAGTAGTGGAGGTAATGGAAATGCAACCGTCTACGGCGTGGCACAATGCGCCGAGACAATTAGCAAGATCGGTTGCCAAGATTGCTTGAATGTGGCATACAACAACGTACAGAGCTGCCTTCCAGATACCGATGGTAGGGCAGTTGACGCAGGTTGTTTCATGCGGTACTCTAGTACTTCTTTCTTGTCTGATAACCAGACTACGAACATCGCGCACTTCTTAAAAGGCAGGAAGAACACTCTTTCTATGTGTATTTCAATATTACTAGGGTTGTCAAATTTGTTCACCAAATGACATGTCAGCGCTCATTCCTTAATCGAACAAACTCGATAATGCTAACAATACTTGTAGGAGGTAATTCAAGAAAGAAAGGCATAATCATTGGAGTGGCAGTTGGAGGTGAAGGTCTTATTCTTCTTCTCATTGTTGGAATTCTTCTCTATTTTAAACTCTCAAGAAAGTCCAGGGCGGATCATAGAGGCGACATATTGGGAGCAACGGAGTTGCAAGGACCAGTGAATTACAAATATAAAGATTTGAAATCAGCAACAAAAAATTTTAGTGAAGAAAACAAACTAGGAGAAGGAGGTTTCGGAGATGTTTACAAGGTAAAATAAATAAAAGAATTCAGAGACATGATTATGCTCCTATTTGTGTTTGAAAAATTAATAATGACTAGTCGTCTTGTTTGGCACGGTCTAGTGGAGGTGTACTAGACTACATTGGAGTAAGCTATACCGAACTAGATCGTATTCATACTTAGCAAACAGCGATACGATGTTTATCTTCTTCAAATAATATAGCTTCAGAAATTTCTGTTTTATGTTCACACTTGGTTGTCATGTAAAGCACGTTTGTTTATTATTCATGTTTGTAGCTATAAAAGCTATATTATTTACATGGAAGGGTTCATATAATGCAGTGGAGAAGATAGCATATTAAGAGTGTCGAGAATATGCGTTTTGTGGAGAGCTACTAGTATATATTCCTCTGGCTTATTAACTATATTGAAATCTACGGTTTTCTGAAACAAGAAATGGAATAGCTTAGTTGAGTTCTTGAAGAAGAAGAAAAGAGAATTGCTGAACTTAAAACTTTTCATTAACCACCCATACTATTTTACAGAAAATCTATTTATAGCTTGCCAATCTTAGTTTAACAACTGAGCTAACATTCAGCTTACATGTTAAGCAATCAGTCTGAATCAACATATGTTGAGAGAGTAGTACTAGAAACAGCTTATATCTCAAGCCACAATGTAAAGAACCTTGAAGGCATCTGAGAATTCTTTTCACCGAGAAAAAAATGAGACTATGTAGGTTGACTCTTATATTGACACACAACATTGACAGCATGTGATATATCAGGTCTAGTAAATGTAAGATATTGAAGTGCACCTGTTAGACTCCTATATAAGGTAGGATCAGCCAATGGAATGCCTTCTGTGATGCAAATTTGAGAATGAGGTTTGGATGGAGTTGGTGCAGGCTTGCAATTTTCAATACCTGCCTTTTTAATTAACTTTTTGGTATACTTAGATTGATTAACAAACAAGTCTCCATTGTATTGATACTAATTTGAAGCCCATGAAAATAGGTAAGAACACCCATGTCCTTAAAATTAATAAGTTCACCAAGTTTACCAATGATTGATTGAACCTAATTAGCATCAGAACATCTAATGATTATATCACCCACATATAATAACAAGATCATATTGACCCCCATCATGTTAATCTGACAAACAAGCTAGCATCAGAAGAGGAAACTTTGAATCCCAGAGAAGGTAGTACTCTTGTAAACTTGGAATGTCATGCTCTAAGGGCCTGCTTAAGACCATATAAGGACTTGACTAAACTACAATCATGTGATAAATTAGTAGGATCCACAAAACCTTGAGGTTGACGCATATAAACTTTCTCTAGCAAATCTCCATGAAGAAAGGCATTCTTAATGTTTAATGTCTGAGAGACCATTTATGAGAAGTAGCAAGAGCCAAAATAAATCTCACAATAGAATGCCTAACAACAGGACTAAAATTTTCTAAGTAATCAATTCCTTGCTCCTATGTAAAACCCTAAGCAACCAGTCTTGCTTTATACCTAGCAATTGTACCATCAGAGTTTCTCTTTATTTTATAAACTCATTTACTTCCTACAACTGATCTATCAACTTGAGGTGGAACCAGAACCCAAGTTCCTTGAGTTTTTAGAGCATCAAACTCTTCCTTCACTTCTTGTTGCCACCAAGGATCTAGGCAGCCCTAAAGGTCCTCGGTTCCTCCACATCAGTGATATTAGTCAAGAATGTATAACCAGAATAACTGATATCATTGTCAGTAATAAATAGAGATTATAGTTCTGAAGGTTCAATAAAAAATTATTAGGCAAGGAACATGCAGTCAAATAAGCAGAACAATCTTGCCTATAAATAGACCCAGTCTTCAACCTTGTTTGCGTAACATGATTATGAGAAGATTCCACAATACTAGAAAACGAAGAATCAATACGTAAAATTACCTGAAGATGACTTGGATCAAGGACAGGTAGCAAAGGAGGTTGTGGAGTCCTATAAATTACATAATTTACATGGCGAGCAGGACTATCAATTAAGAGTTATCTATGTGCTTCGGTGGCTTGATCGCTGATGTGGGCGTGCCAATTTTCTACCAAGCATAGTTGGGCGAATACCTTTGAATGTGGTAGTGTGGTGAAATGCGCTGTTGATTACTATAACAAGTGACTTCGGCCGAGGAAGGAACACTCTCCGCCTTGGGTTCTATAACCTGAAGACAAGGTTATGCATATTAGAATGAAGTTCTGGGCCTTTTGCCCCAGGTTCGACAGCCTCAACTATATTCGTGAAAACATAGCTTCATCGACTCAGTATCAAAATGCACTGTAAAAGTAGTTTAGTCGTCTGAATGCCAAATTTTGAATGTAACCTGGAATATCTGATCGTAGAACACTCCACTTAGCCAAGAAAGCTGATGAAGGGACCTCTTTCGGTGAAAGAATCAAGGATTCTTTGCCGGCTGAGACTTAAAGATAGATAGCCAGTCAAACTTGAGAGACTCCCCGTCTAACTAGACAGTCGTCGTCCGTCAACTGCCAACCCCACCGTCTAACCAGACATGATTCGTGCTGATGATTAGTCAAGCAATTAGTGTTTCACAGAAAGTTTGTGAGAAGTTTTGCTGACGATTAATCTTTCTTATTGAACAACTCCTCTCGGTTTTGTTCTCATCTCTAAGCTCATAATATATTTCTCCAAGACAATTACTACAATAATTAAGAATAATTAAGACTGGTAGTAATATCTAGGAAAAATATTAAGCTCAAGAATGATTACACGGGCCGATAGTGCAAAGTTAGGCATAAACAGCTTTTTAAACAAAAGCTTATGTCAATAACCATAACTGCAGAAACACCAGCCGCAGCTAAAATCTGCGGGCCATGGCATAGGGATGCAACTGGTTTCCCCGAAGTCCTACATACAAATAACGTGAAGCATAACGTTACGGTTTTAACTTAGGACGTTAAAGATTAACAAATGAAAGCACAACTTACCCCACAGAGAAACAGGATCCTTCTATCCGAACCAGTTATTTGCCTCCTAGTACCTTCACAAAAAGCCTAATGAAATCGGGATTACCTCATACGTAACCCCAGAAACTATATCACCGTCAACAACAGACGACATGACCACGGGTTCTACCTATTGAGCCCCAGCAGCAACCAATACAGGTCTCAAAGGCGGAAACCCTGTGCACTTCCGCCCCTCTAATCGAGCCCGCAGCTGCCATGACAAGTAGCGGCAATTGGCTTTTTGGAGTCAGAAAACTTTCTCACCGATTCTACAACGTATGCATCCACAGAAAGATACTCAGGAGATCACCATCCTGATATTACGAGTCCATCGTAGTTTTTAAAATCTGTGTCATCAAATGTTGCATTCAGCGTGAAATTGCAAAAATACATAGTAATTTTTGCTAATTGTTTTCCTAAAAGAGCGGGAAAACTAGCACTCAGTTTCTTTCATCCAAATAAATGAATTAATAGAAGTAAAGGCTGCAGAACAGAGGAGGTTGATTGACCTGGTGAGAACTGAGAAGTAGAATGTTGATGAATGGCGGTGGGGCAGATGTCACCAGATTTCTTGCCAGGGCAGACCGCGTCTACGGACACTCCAAACGCCTGCAATGCTTGATACCGGACCACCGCATCATACTCTTCCATGCAGTCGCCGCACAGCAACACAACCCTCCTCCCCTCTCCCTTTCCGTTCCCTCCGTTTTAGTTTCTTACTTTTCTTGCTTGGTTTTTCTTTTCCAGAGAGAAATACAAACGAATTCGGTGGATTCAACTCCGAGGGTGTAAAGGGGTATGGAGGATGATTGAAGAAGAAATGGAAACTCGTATACGGTATATACGCTTGAGCTGCTACTGCTTTACTAACAAATAGCATAACACGTTCATCGTGCATCTTTACTCTGTTTTCTTACCATTAAATTTGACGTCTTAGAGAAAACTTCGTTGTTGGTGCTTGGAGCTCAATGCGTTGTCGAAAAATCAAAGTTGAAAGAGAAAGTATAACATAGGTCATGCCAAAGGCGTAGTGTTTGGTCGACATCATGGCTCTGGATTTCCTTCCTTAATCTCCAGTCTACACAAACGACAGATTGACCATTTGAGGTTACAACAGTGCTAATTTTCTTTGCATGTCCAGTCCACTCCAGTTAGTGCTTCCAGAGTCTTCGACCATAATACACCCACACATATACGTACATATCGACGTTTTCTATGGTTCGGTAAACCGCACTTGGGGATACTGGGCAATCGGCCAAAGTGAGGTTAACTGTGCCAGAGAGTATTTTATACATATACACATATATATGCTTGACAATAGGACCAACAGATTGAGCGGCTGAGCTTTTTTCACAGTTAGATGTGCAACCATCGAAGGAAAGAAGTTACATGGAAATACGGCATACATAGATCAAAGCAAGAGTACGCCCTCGTAGATACAGACATCAACTTAGACAGAACTTACATGTCGCCCTTCTCTGGTCGAACATGGCATACATCTCTTATTATTTCACAATAATAGTTAAACATAACTCACACAAGCGGTTGACCTGGTAAATGCAGCTAGAATGATACTTGAACACCAAGTAATGTCATCAACTGAGAAATGAACTCTGGGTGGCCTGGCCACGCTGCTCCAGTAACCAAATTTCCATCCGTGAAGCAACGATCTATTGGATCAGGTTCCAGCCATGTGCCTCCCGAAAGAACCACATTAAGCTTCACCGCAGGGTATGCAGTACATTTCTTTCCCTGAAACATAGCCATTTATAAACACTTACGATGTGCCCAAAAAGTGATTGAAAGGGCACAGTTACCTCACAAACAAAAAGCAAAAACACGAAACTCCCTAGCTTAATCACATCGGCACATCCATCAGAAGTCAGAACATTCATTCATTCAGGATGAACTAGGCAGATGATAGGTTCTAGAATTCAAATCGATGCTAAAGCAAAAAAAATATTCCCAGATAATTTGTTTTGCTAAACTAAACCTACGGTGTTTTGCTGCTGCCTCAAGGCCCACTTTGGGTACAGTTCATGAACGTCTTTTAAGATACTGATCTAGAGATCTGAACTCTAATCTGTTTTGGGCATAATAGTTTCCGTTACCTTCTACAATGTAAATGTACACGACCACAAGTACAGAATATCTACTTTTTCTTTTTCATTAAGCATTGACATAAACATTATCTATGCCCAATTGCCCATAAGTATATATTTATATACTGTGTATACATGTCTTAACACATTTGTCTTAGAACTATGATATTTTGTTTTTTATCTTATAAAACACAATATTATGTACACTTATATGTATACCTGACATATCTAACAGGAGACTAGAACTTAAACTTTTATTTTTCAGAAAAAGGAAAAAGCTAAGCTAAACACAGAAATACACACTGTATTTGTACATCTACTTTTTAATTTGAAATTTTAAAATCTACAATTTTAATATGCTTAAAATTGATTCTGGATTCTTAAAGATTTTTGCGTCATTGTTTGTGAAACTTTATGTTATTGCTTTCGTATTCGGTAATGGGACTGATCCCAATAAAACAGCCTGGAACTCATCCCCGAAAACCCATATCCCATATTAGAAAATGAGCCGCAGAAGCAATAAAATAATAAAGCTACCTAAACTGGGATTACAGCTTCACTTTGTTTCCAGTTGAACCAAATTATTGGAGGAACTCCTTTGGTTGCATCATAAGGATTGACCGAATATCCGTGAAAGTTGTAGCAAAAACATTACTATGGTTGACAGCCTCACATGAATTAATCAGATAAGGAAATAATCGAATTTGATTGAAAAACTTAAAAAATATGAACCAAAATGAAATTTGGATCAAACTTAAGGAAAAAGGCGCCTTGCTGAAAGGAAGAGAGGTACTAATTGGGAATTTCTCTTAAATGATTATGTCAGTAACCATACCTGCAGAACACCAGCAGCAGCTAAAATCTGCTGCCCATGGCAGATGGACGCAACTGGTTTCCTGGCTTCAAAAATTTGCTTCACTAATGCAATAACTTTCTCATCCAATGCCAAATATTCAGGAGCTCGACCTCCAGGGATTACAAGCGCATCGTAACTTGAGACGTCTAGAGCTTCAAAATCAGCTGTTAAAGTAAAATTATGGCCCGGTTTCTCACTGTAGGTTTGGTCACCTTCAAAATCATGGACAGCAGTTGCACAGATATCACTAGCTTTCTTCTTCGGGCAAACTGCATCAACATGGCATCCAAGAGCTTGAAGGGACTGAAAGGGCACAGTTACCTCATAATCCTCCATAAAGTCCTACAAATATTGAAGAGAGAAAGTGATTAGTAACTGAGAAATCTAACATTTTGATCATTGCCTAGAACAATACATACATAAGAATTAGCTCATAAAAAAATGACAAACCCCTTTAATTTCTTTTCAAAACGCAAATGTAAAGGAGTCAATCCTGATTTATTGACCATCTTATCACTGTTAAACAATCAGTAAGTTTGATTCCAAATAACAAGTAAAAGAAATAATTTGATGCAGGAGAGGTTAGAAAACCAGCCTATTAAAGCATACATGGTGGGCTAAGGTATGTTTTGTTGCATTCTAACTATTGGCATTGTAAGTGGAAAAGTTTAGGTAGGCTCTGAAAGTGAAAGATTTGTTTTAAAAGGATAATTAAAGGACTGGTTTCAAGAGATTTGGTTGCATGACATTTGACAGCAACAAATTGGGTCGCGTCTGGAATTTGAAGAGCCAATTACTGTCTCAGGATATGGGACAAGTCTGGGATTTCAGTGACGAAGAGGGGATGAAAAATAAACTTTGAAATTCTGGAGTAGTCTCTTAACTAAAGTAAAAGGAGTTCTCTACCTAACGTGTTCCATATCCATAACTCACACAATTCATGCAAATGACCTGAAAAGTGGTTGGTATACATGTTTGGTTTTACTTTCACAATTCACACATTGACCTGCAAAACACTAGTGTTCTAATGTGAAGCACAACCCAAATAGGCAGAGCACTGAAGCATACAGGCAACAGGCAACGCTGCATACATTATACACATAGGAATGCTTGATGAAACCTGACACCAAAATTGTGGACAATGTGGTAAAGCCTACCCAGGTTTCTCCCCTTTCTTTTTCGAAATAAATTGTCAAGGGATGGTTCCATCAATTATCATATTTTAAGTTTATCGTTATTCCCATTCATGTATATGCACAAACAAAGAAATTAATCAGTTTCACACTTTCAAGAGAACATACACCATTCCACCTATTCATGTTCGTAAATTATTTTGTTTCAGCTTAAGATTTGACTTCACCGTAACATTTGTCATAAACAAAGTACGTCAAAACATAAATACTGTATAGTCAATTTCACGTTCTTATATATTTATATGCAATCACAGACTTATATTTCTCATTGCATTTCAAATGAAAATAGAACTTACTCCACAGAGAAAAAGGATCCTCCTATCTGAACCAGTTATGATTCCTCCCAATGCCTTAACAAATAGCCTAATGAACTCAGGGTGGGCATCGTATGTGGCCCCGGTAATTATATTACCATCAACAACACAAGCGGACATGGTCTCAGGCTCCACCCAGTAAGCACCTGCAGCAACGAGTACTGGTTTGACAGGAGGGAACGCTGTACACTTCCGACCTTTAACTAAGCCTGCCGCTGCTAGGATCAGTTGCCCGTGGCAAATAGAGGCAATTGGCTTTCCAGAGTCAGCAAATTGTTTCACCAATTCTACAACTGACGCATCCAAAGCTAGATATTCAGGTGCCCGTCCTCCTGGTATTATTAATCCATCATACTTGTTAAACTCAATGTCATCAAATGAAGCATTGAGTGTAAAATTGTGACCCCGTGATTCAGAATAAGTCTGCAACCAAGAGCAAAAACACATTTACCCCCAAAAAGCATATTAAAACAAAGGGTATAGAAATATATATAGCTTTTAAGATTTGTAATTGTGCATACAGTACAAGTGAAAAGCATATCATGATTCAGAAAACCTAGGTACAAGTGTAGCAAGTGATCGCGCCAAGAATTTGTTCAGGCTATCTGTCCCCTGAACACGACCTATTTACAGGTCAGTTATGGAGCTCATATCAAGCGAGCAAACACTCTAATAAACCTCCTGGCTTTTGTTCCCTTCCACACAAACTAGCATCAAGTTGTTAGTGAGAATTCCACAATCTCAACTGAGTAGATGTTTGCATTTCATTTCTACCACACCAAATAAATTCGGTATCAGAAATTATGCAACCAAATATAAATGCTACATCTTGAAATTTGTCAACCTGATAGAGTGAATCTACTGAATAGTAAACTTTCTCCCTATTGTCTATAAATTAGGGCTACAATTCATTGGTTGACAAAACCAAATTAATGCGAGAGTTGTAACCATTCCAAACCAAATTAATGCGAGAGTTGTAACCATTCCAATCTTTGGGGCAAATACCTTGTTTGGGTTTTACAAATTCAAGTTACGTAATCATTCCATCTAAAGCAAGCAACTTGTAGCTCAGTTGGTTCATAACTTTCAACCATTGCCCCCGAGGTCCCGAGTACGGTCCCCCCTCCCCATACAAGTTGTATCAAAACAGAAACAATACAATAAAATCTTTCACCTAATTGATCGTGCTTTGATTACAAAGTAGAAAGGGACCAATCGGGAATTGAGAGTGTAGTATGACTAATTGACTATGAAAAGCAGAGAGGTGAGGTCACCTGGTGAGCAGGAGATAGTTCATGAATGGCAGTGCGGCAGATATCACCGGATTTCTTGGCAGGACAGACGGCGTCGACGGAGACTCCGAATGCCTGCAAAGCTTGAAAGGGGACCATCGCCTCATAGTCTTCGACGTAGTCACCCAATACCATCAGCACTCTGCGCTCCTTCGCCATTTCTTTTCTCTTTTTCTTGGTTTTTCAGAGAGAGAGGGAGAGAGAGAGGTGAAGCTGGGTGGACTAAATTGTGAAAGTAGATAATGAAACCCAAAAATCCCATGGCTTCGGCAGACGCAGACCGAAGAGTTCTTGGAAACTTCTGGACTGAGATCTACGACAAGACCGCGTTGTCCTTTGGTTATCGTGGCAATTTCCCATTGTTTTTTGTTTTTGATAGGGTGCAAGTTGGATTGAAAATTCCTGCCCGGACCAAAAAATCCCCGAGCCCCAACTTTTTTTATTTAAAAAATTGTCGAAAGATTTAGCCAACAATTAAAATGTATCTATCTACTCGATTTGAAATTTATTATGTTTAGATATTTTATTTTGTATATTTAATTATACTATTATATATTAAATGTCCCAATAATTCAAATAAAAAAAAAATTGAATGGTGGATACATAAAAATTGTAAAATTTTAAAAGTCTAGCAAAATGTAGGAGATTCAAATTATGTTTCGAAAATTCTAAAATAATATTGACTCTGAAATTTTTGATAAATTCCAATGATCCAAATTCCGAAATTACAACTAACATTTGATTCCAATTCTTTTTTGGATTGGCATTGGAATGCTTGTTTTTTTTTTTTTTTTTAAAAAAAGTTGAAGTTATATCATAAAATTAATTGGAAGTATGAAAATTAGCTCAACTTGCTTCTGTGCAATGTCCCTCGTGTTTTGAGAAAGACGAAAATTTTCCATCTTTTTCTAGCTAAAATAATTTCAACGTTGAATCTATTTACTTTTGCATTATTTGTATTAGCAAACAAATGATATGTCATGACTAATAAATGAGAATAATACTACTAAATTTGTAATGAAGTACAATGGCGAACAAATTACCTCCACCTTTCTTCATATCTAATTTCTCTCATATATTCCTCTATATATAGCAAAAAATATGAAAGATAAAGACTAAACGAAATGGTTACAAAACGGTTGTTTGTGTTGTGTTATTGTTTGGGCCCAAAATATTATTGCTGGGCCGAGCAGCAAGATGTGCTCGGCCCAAGGAGATGATAAATACTATGGGCCGAATAATAGGGCCCGGGCCAGCTAACAGGGTCGGCTAAATCCTATCATAAGTAGTCCAGATAAATAGAAAGGTCGAGGAAGTCCTGGTGCAACTAGGATTCTCGACCAGCAAGGAATGAAGTCCCGAAAATAAGGAAAATTCAGAATCCTAGTAGGAGTAGGTTTGTTCGAGGAAGAAGCGAAATGGGACAATGACTCCCAATCCAAATCGGAGTCGGTTTCAAGGAATAGGGCACTATAAATACAAGAAATCATGCAAACAGAAAGGACCTTCACAATCAGCATACAATTGCCCTGCGCAAAACCTCTCAAACACCTTGAGATTTTTCCTTTTCTTTTCCCCGCCGACACACCTTCAGTTTGGATAAACAGCACTGTGGAAGCACCCGGCGAGCATCTTCAGTTTGGATAAACAGCACTGCTGCCGCAGAATCAGCCGACCGAGAAGCACATTCAGTTTGGATAAACAGCACTGCGTCGAGGTCGACCGGTTATCTATCTAAGTCTCGGCCGAGAAGGGTTTTCGAACCTTTATTGGCAGAGGTCACCTTGCTAGCCTTTTCGGCATAGTCAGGTGTTACGAATCGCATTGCTCGGCGTACAGGACGCCGAGTTATTTTATGATTGGATACTCGCAAGTAGGTTTCAGGGTTCGGCATTCCGACGGCCGAACTACGTTTACCATCAAGACATACATCACGTTCGAGTACCTGTGCCCATACAGTTTGGTCTCGATTCGACGTGTTTATACTCTTACGAATATAATCACGGTGACCGAATCGGGCTCCGACGATTATTGAACTCCGCAGAATTAGCAGCCTTGTCTTCAGGCTGTAGAACTCAGAGACCGAGAGCGTTCCTTCCTCGGTCGCAATCGCAAGATAGAGAAGTCAACGACGCACTCCAAGCGACATCAGCAAATTTTACTCCTCGGCCGAGCTCGGCCGACGAGTTGGCACGCCCCGCATTCAACCGAAGGACGTAGTTAGCTTACTAGTTACTCGGCCTGCGCGCCACGTAGGTTTTGTAATTTTCAGGGTCAACATTTTGGCACGCCCAGTGGGACCATTTGTGCTAAACCTTCGGAGTTCATAACCATTGAGACACGGTCTACGAAGCAGAAAACAACCATGGGAAAGTCAACGACTGACTTGCCAGTGCAAGGCCTTGGGCAGGATTTGCACCCTACAAAAAATCCGATCATAATTGCGCCGCCCGAGGCCACAAGTGTAACACGCCGAGAGAACGAAGTCTGTCTCGGCGGGCAACTTTACAACCCCGCAGTCCCGAATCAAACAGCTGGAATGTTCATGGAAGGGATTGTGGAAGATTGTGATGACGATGGTGGGGAAGGTTCCGATCCACCAACTAGGACATTCCTTCGGAGACGACTGGATGAACAATATCGTCAGGTCGAGCAGTCGATTGGTCAGAAGATGAATGATTTGCTAGACGCAATACGTAGTAACAGCGATACACATACCAGAATGCTTGAACTATTGGTTAGTAAAGCCTTTGAAGATGGCCAGGTCGGCCAGCCTCGGCAGCTCCCGACGAATGTGCCTATACCAGCCTAGAGAGGGTCCGCTCGGCCGCAACCAGTCCCCTTGGAAAGAAGAGGACCAGGAAATAGAGCCGAGGGACCAAGCCAGGGAGAAGAAGTCGCTTCCATAAACGTGACCGAAGTCCAAAGAATGATAGATTCGGCCCTAAAAAAAGGGCCGAAGTTTCCAAAATTCATTCACCCATACCCGGCCTATGTGGAAAGGTTTGAATACCCACGAGGATTTAAGATCCCCGATTTCAGCCTCTTCGCCGGGGAATCATCTTTATCCTCACTAGAACATGTGGCTCGGTTCACAGCGCAGTGTGGGGACGTCAATAGCGATTTCTACAAACTACGGCTGTTTAATTTTTCACTGACAGGCTCAGCTTTCGCCTGGTACATTAATCTTCCACCCAACTCCGTGCAGAGTTGGGAAGAGTTGGTCGAAAAGTTCCATGAACAATTTTATCGGCTAGGGATGGAGATGTCCGTATTATCGTTGGCCAGGATGGCTCAAGCATCTGACGAATCTCCAATGGAATACCTAACAAGGTTTAAATCGGCCAGGAATTGGTGCCGAGTGCCACTCCCCGAAGTGGAATTCGTCAGGATCGCCCTCAACGGATTAGACGTGGAGTACAAAAAGAAGTTCCTGGGGGCAAATATTCGAGATATGTACGAACTTGCTCAACATGTCGAACAATATGATTATCTACTCCGAGAAGAAAAAATATCAAAGTCACCATCCCGAGGGACGTTGTATAAGAACCCCACGGTTAGCTATGCATCGGCCGAAGGTGAAGAACCTCAGTATGCTAGTGTGGATGCGGCCGAGATAGTAATAGACAAACCCTATGTTTGCAAGGCTTTGGCGCAAGTAAATACCAAAGACGCCAAAACCCGTTTGGCCGCCGAGGAAACGAGTAAGTCATCAAAAGTATACACTTTTGATATCACCAAAGCTGATGCAATTTTCGATCAATTATTGGCAGCAAAAATCATCAAGCTTCGGCCGGGACATATTATCCCTAAGGCCGATGAATTAAAAGGAAAGATATACTGCAAGTATCATAATTCTAATAAGCATGCAACCAATAATTGTGTTGTGTTCCGGGACACAATTCAAAGTTGGATCGAAAAAGGAAAGTTGAAATTTCCGGAAAAGATGGAGGTCGATGTTAATCCTTTCCCTTCAACAACGATTGGTATGGTGGATGCTCACCTTCCCAGAAACAAAGGGAAGGCCGAATATGTCCCGGTGCAGCATATCCGTAAACGGAATGGTCAAACAAGACTAAAGCTTGATATATTTTCAAATGCACCACCAACGGAACAATCGGTGCGACCCGCCGATGAGCCGATGACGAGGTCAAATTCCGACGAAACTTGTGGATCGAAGGTTTTATGTGACCATTGTAAAACACCAGTTGAACCTGGGAAGAAATCTTCAACACCACCAACGGCCCCTACGGCGTCATCAAAGGGATTAGGTCCACGACGTCAAGTGTTCGACCGACTCGGCCCACAAGTAAAGCCGAAAGAACAGACCTCGGTCAGGCGGCGTCTTGACTTCGACGCGCCATTCTATAATGAGGATTATTATTCGCGCAATACCAACAGTTCGGGCTCGCCAGTTGATCGCAAAACTTTCAAGCCACTCAGGACATCGGATCAACGCTGGTACAGTTACAACTCTCCAACTGGCTTGTATACGGCGCTATCTAAATCTCAAAAACATCGCCGCCAACGGATAGATTGCATGGCTCGGCGACGAGAAACGCAGGCTAGCCCGGCCAACCAATGGCAACCAAAAAAGGCCATGGAAGATATTAGCGAACGGCCAACCCCGACTATCATGACCGAGTTAGCCGAAGGGAAGAAAGTAGCGGATGCTGATTTCGAAACCACCATTGAGGAGGCTGAGAAACGTATTAAGGTCCTTCTCCGGCCTGGGGAAACGAGAGCTCGTCTTGAGTACTTTACACAAGAGGCCGAAAGGAAACTTTCTCCGTTACCACCGCGCGAGCCGTTTATCAAAATACGGCGCAACTTACACCCTCCATTCCTTGGTGCATCCATGGAATACATGCGAGAATTTCGTAAGAAATACTCCGCAAATGACTTGTACGGACTCCCCAAGGCATGTCAGGAAGCCCTCGACTTAGCGCTAACTTGCCCTGATGCCGAGCAAATTATCCAGAAAACTTCTGATCCAGCCATTAAAGCTAGGTTTCAACATATACGGGAGGCTCGGGTCCTTGGTTTTGAGGTCGATCCTTATACAGATATCGACGCCGCCGAATTACCCTTTTCGCTCGAAGACCTTCAGCATTTACACTATCATTTCGAAGTCTTCTCGGCTGTATCGCTCTTCGGCCTCACGGCCGACGAGGAAAAACGGATAGCACGATTGGATACCTATCTGGACACGAGGAACGCCCGTATTGCATATGAAGAACAAGCCCGTGTAACAAAGGACCAACGTAAATCTTCGGCAGTCCACATCGTCGAAGGAA